AAGTGTATGGCCTTCCTAGAACAGTACCCAGATCCAGGTTACAAATTTAAACTTTGTAACACCTCCTCCATCCATCTCCTGGATGTTTAATCACTACTGTTATGGGCAGATGGGAAGATGGTGAGCTGAGCAGAGCTTACTTCTCCCCTTAAGCAAATGGCGACCTTTAATTTCCATCTTCCTCCCCGCTTCACTCAGCCCCTCCACTTAATCACTTCTGAACCACAAAACAAAATTCGATCTAATCTAGAGTTAGGAGCAAGAAAACAATAAATCCATCTTGAGGTTCTGGGTACTCTTCTCTCTCAAGCTTGTTCCCGGGAGGCCCGATCATGTGATTTTCATCCAGAGGGCTCAGCCTGATGCTGACAAGCGTTCTCACACCTTGCCTTTGCATGTGCCCCAATCCTTTAGCTTTGAGGATGGTCTGGTAAGTGGCAGGGATATTCAAAGTGAGGAGCAATAAGTGGAACCCGCTATAGGAAGGCAGAGCTAAAACATTTCTTTTTCATTCTCTGCTCATTAAAATGAAAATAGCTATTATTCCATCATTAGTGGAAGAGTGGAAGGAAGCTTCAGGATCATGACTTAAAAGCTGACACCAGAAACAATTCCAACTCAGTAAAGGTAACATACCATAGAACGCAGTATTCATAACTTACTGCCCCTGCCCACTTCTGCTGATGCTATCAAAACTTGAACTAAAAAGATGGTACCCACTTTGCAAAAAGGCACTCTACCCCCCAAATCCAGAAACACATATCAAGTTGTATTAATCCAGAATTCGTATACTTTTTCTGTCTCCTTTACACTGCCTGGGAGAGGGCGAAGTACATCATATCCCTGAAAAAAGGAAGTATCTGCAAACTGTTTTGTAAATTTAAATGGCTATCCCACATTTAAAGCATGCTGATGCTTCACGCTGGTTTCAAGTTTGAGCATCCGAAATGTTCTCATGGTAGTTCTTCAGAGCACACTGGTTTCCCTAATGCTGGCGCCCTGCGAGGGGCCACATTTCTGTCTGGAAGAGAAGCAGCTCTTCTTTTGGTTTGATGTACCAAGCTTCCCTTAGGGAAATTGTTCTGAGGAGTATAGGCATTGGGATGATTACTGAGTTTTTAAATGGAGATGGGCTTTTATTGTAAGATGAACTGGTGCTCTAAGATGGGTGAGCTGCACGTGCCTCTCCAGGCTGGTGATTGTCCAACCTAGGTCCGCAGCAGCTCCAAAAGGGGTAAGGGAAGAGGGACCGGGAGACAGCATCTCCCTTCAATCCGTCATCCAGCTTTAGCCAAATACCACTTATAGTATTTGGTGATCTTTATGTACAAAATATTTATATACAACTTACCCTACTAAGATGGAAGGAAGGGGCGTAATCGTGTTGATGAAGATGAACGTGCTTGCACTTATACAGTTTATGCACATGAAGAGTTTAGTGCTGGAACTATAAAATGATTCGCAGGCTTCTAGTAATTATTCCCTAAGAGTTATCTTATATACATGCTGTGAAATTTGGTGGTTGGTAATCTAAGCTGCCAACTCCAGGGAGTGATCTGCATTGAACCTGGGCCTGCAGCAATGCTAAAAAAGGACAAGCGAAATGGAGCTGGGGAGAGTGCATCTCCCTTCAATCAGTGGTCCAGATGTAGCCACATACCTCATTAGATAATTAGATATTTGGCAACACACGTGTGCAGCGTGTGCGCGCACGCGTGTGCACACACATTTATTTACATTATGCACTATCAAGATGAAAGGAAAGGATTTAATTGTGTTAATGAGGATAAAATAGCTTCCATTACACGCTTCAGACAGATGGGGAGATGTAGAGCTGGACTAATTATATGATCTCTAGACTTCCAAAATTCTCTCTTACAAAGTCGTTTTCCACATATGCTGGGATGGATGTTGGTGTTATGAGCCTGCATGTCCTGATGTGTGATCTGACACTAGCATGGGCCTGTGCAAGTCTAAAAGGGGAAAAGGAAGTGGTCTGAGGAGAGATTATCTCCCTTCAATCAGTTGTCCAGATGTTGCCAAATATCTCAAAATGTAGTATTTGGCAAAATGCATACATATAAAAATATTTTATATACATTATGCCCCACCATGATGGATGGTAAGGGATTAATCATGTGCAGGAGTATGAAAAAGCTTTACTTACACACTTTGGGCAAATGGGGAAATGAAGTCCTGGGCTAACTCAATGATTTACAGGGTCCCCAAAATGTAAGTTTATCTTCTAATAGTTATCTTTAATATGTGAATACTCATGGAAATGTCACCTTTCAAGCTGCTTTAAAAAAACAAGTAATGATAAGATAAACTGATTAGTAATAAACATTTGATTTTATAAACTCTATTACGTGTGACCCAACTATTTCACAAGCTAAAAACAGGGCTAAATTTTGTTAATAGACCACTATTTTGTTTTAATACTATCAACAACCACAGCACAGTCACCATCAAATTCTTTTTTTTCTTGCTTTCTGCCAGTTTGTCAGGAACTGCTTTATAGCCCCCAGACCTTGGGGCTGCAGGGAACACTCTGTAGGATACAAGATTTCGTAGAGCTGAAGGCAAGAAAGAGAGTGAATGAGGAAAGAAAAGAAAAAGTCTTACTTGAAGGGCAAGTCAGGGACTCAGCACTTACAATATATCTGCAACAAATCTAAAGGAAGAGGAGAAAGACACTTAAGAGAAAGGTTCTTCCTTTTGGCAACATGGTAACCAAAACATGTATACAAAAAAAGAACTGTGTACAGGGTGTGCTGATGAATGTTTATCAACCAGCAAAGAAGGGGGGAACACATCCTGCTTTGTAACATTTGCTAATTTCCATAGTATAAGTACTCTCACCATGGCCAAGTTCAAACTACCAACAAGAAGTCCTAAACTTCATCATTATACAGTATTTCTGTCATACAGACAGAACAGATCTGAATAATCTCAAGAGCAAAGAAAAGTAAAAGGTAGTTTTGAGTACTATTTTTGTTTTTTAAAATAATCTAATTGTAAGTGCATGCCATTTAATTTTTAATAATGGCTGTATTTAACAACGAATTTGCAAAATTCTTGAAAATTTAATAATTAGTAAGCCTGTATGAGTTGGCTACAACATACCACACCTAAATGAATAAGAGGGAAGGAAAAATCAAACTGAAAATTATCAAATGATATTTACTATGTTTTTATAGAGATATAGTCAAAACCTAATTAAAGGATTTTTAGAATTCCAAATATATCAACATATTCTGCTCATTATTCCCTCAAATAATGTAAAATATTCTCAAGAAAATGAGATGTTTCAAAGGATTTTAGCGATGCGGATGTGAGTTCTTATAATACAGGTAAATGTCCAATTTTATGAAGGTTCTCTCTCCTAACCAGATTCTATGTGTTTTACAAGCTAACTAGAATAATGCACTCATTGTTTTCCCAGTAGCTTGTTTTACTATCAAGCAACTCAGGAACACTCAGTAACTAAACAAATTTGGACTTGGGCCCATCTTCTGCTGAGTAAGCAATCTCTTTAGCTCCAGGTGTCACCAGCACAAGGGATGTCGCCTTTACAAGGCTCAGAATTTCAGACAGAAGAAAAAAAAGAAAGAATTGGAAGGGAAGGAGGGGAGAAGAGAGAAGAAAGGGAGAGAGGGAGAGGTACCTGAGGCAGGGTCAGGGTGCCAATGACAGCCTCAGGCACTGATTATCATCAAAGGCATGTGAGCTTGAGCCAAAGGCTGTAGTTCTGTGTTTCCTTAGCTTAGCATCACACTGTTGCTCTGCTAGATGAAAAGTTACTGCACACAAACATGCCATTATCTCAGCTGTACATTCACAGGCTTTGTCCTTGAGATGACACACATCTGGAGAAGTGATAATTCACACTTTTTTCCTGATGTCTGCAAAGCTCTGGATAGATCATGCCATATGGACAAATGTCTGTGTAAATAACTTGAACACTCACATTTCATTTTGTAATCTTGTCACACTAAAGATAAAGCAATAAATGCCTCTAAAATTTGCCAAAAAGGGGTGCCTAGGTGGCTCAGTCGCTAAACGACTGCCTTCGGCTCAAGTCATGATCCCAGGGTCCTGGGATCGAGCCCCGCATCGGGCTCCCTGCTCCGCGGGGAGCCTGCTTCTCTCTCTCTCCCACTCCCCCTGCTTGTGTTCCTTCTCTCACTGTCTGTCAAATAAATAAAATCTTTAAAAATAAATAAATAAAAATAAAATTTGCCAAAATGATGCAATCATGTGTATCAGACAACTCTAAGGTGTAATTATTGTTTTATTGAGGAATGTACTGTTTTAAAAGCTGCCCTTTCTAAAATTTAAAAATTTCCCATCACGTCTGGAAAAGTTTAAAACAGCTTTGTAAAAAGTTATCTATTAGAGTCATGTTAAAGATGGATTTATGTTGAATAATCAGTAAAGGTAAGTGTGCTAATTAATTTTGCTGCCTGTAAGTCTGCCTTGAAGACTATTCATGGGTTACTATTTCAGACTTATTTGCTGATGCTGTGTTAAAGTATCATAATGCTGCCTTGCTTTCAGGAAGATGATACCACTGATCTTCCAACAGTGGGACATGTGCATTTAGTGATTTTTCTGGAACCGGGGGAGAATTTGCGCCAAGTTGGTCACATTTTCTCACCCAGTGAAAGATTGGCAATACTAACTTCTTATGTGGTCAGAAGAGTACTTCTGATGTATTTAGCCTAACTCAAAGCTATGCATGTAAACAGAGATAGGCCTCTATCGTGATCACAGTTACAAATACATGTATATACTAAATTCCTTTCAGTGATTTAAAAAAAAAAATAAAAGTTCATGTAAGAAAGCCAGGCAAACCAATGTGAAACTGGTTAAGTAATTTTCGGTCGCTGTTACCCACTAAAGGTCTGCTGAGGTCCACTGGTGTGAGTTGCCAGAGGTGCCCGTGAGCAAATGAGACAATTGTATATCTTAAAAAATCCAAGATAAGTAAGTAGTGCTAAAAAAGAACAACAATTAAATTATTAGCCAGGTGGTTAACGGAAATGCACACCCTTGAATAAAATGGTCCTGATGGGGAAGGAGAAGGGTTTTCGCTTGCTTATTTCTAAGTGGCCATCATGGTGCAACTCAGCCTCGTCTTGCAGAAGTCTACCTTCGGTCTCCTTCAACTCGCTTTTTACGAACTAGGTGAGAAATAAAGACAGGAAAGAAAAAAGGTAAATTGAAGGAATGGTGCTTAAATTCCAGACCAACAACATTAATCACACTGAACAGCAACCCCACACATTTAAGGATATAGTTATCTTAAATTTCAATACTCAATTGCCCAGTACATGCCATAAATGGAAATGATATAATAACCTAGTGTCTTGCAGAATTTACATTTTAAATAAAGTCATGTCTGATATTGGGAACTTGAATGTTAGAAATTTCTACAGAGTAGCCAGTCCAGAATAGACCCATGAAACAGTCAACTGCTGAGTATTTCCATGGTCACGTACCCACAGCACAGCTCCACCTCTGTGCAACCTGATCCCCACCTGGCTTTAACTCCCCAGGACAACACATGTACAATCTATGAATTCTGCTTAAGGCCTGAACACCAGGAGGAGCCGCAAACAAACGTTCAAAGTTTCTAAACCTGTTTTATACAACCGCCCCACCCCAAGTATCAGCTTCCAAGGAAGGGGTGATTCAGAAGGCAGGCAAACTCAGAGGTTAAGGTTCCCTTAAGTGGGTACTTAGTATCAAAAAAGTTGCTCTGACGGTCCATTCCCAGTTTCTGCAACCCATTTTCCCCTTTTACCTCTCCACCTGCAGGCCTGTCTGGTGGGCAGGAGGGTTACTCTAACCTTCCTGGATTTGGCAAAAAGGTGCCCAGGCTGTGGTCCTGCCCTAATTCTTCACTTAAATAGCCCAGGCTGCAGAAAATGAGACAAAAGCTATTGCCCACAGCTGCCACTCTTGGGCTCATGATCGTTTTTCCATTTACTTCAAGCCTCTTCTTTTGCCTGTTTCTCTTTGGTCTCCATGTTGTTCAGCTGTGGACTCCTTGCAGTTCTCCTCGGTGCTTTCTGACTGCTGCCTCCACCCTTCCCCAAAGCCCTGTGTGCGGGGCTGCCCCCTTAGCCTCATCCCCTACATCCCAATGGCAGGCACTGCCATATGCCTGGCCAGCCTCTGGAGGCCACACAGCCTACCTGGCCCGGGCCTCAGCAGCTTGGCTGAGCACGCCTGGACAGGGAGAGGGACACTAATCTTTGCCTGCCCCTTCCTGTTCCAACTCTTGGTTTCTGTCTTGTCTATGATCTGAATCCTCCCCATGGCCAGCACTCTATTTGGCAGAACACTGTGCCCAGTTCTCCCAGCCAAGGTCTGGCCTTCTGTCCCCAAACCTCAAACTGGGGACCGAGTTCTACTATTGGCTGGCTGCTTGCCAACTGACTGTCGGCTCTTGGATGTCCTGTTGCCATGCTGCTTCAGGCGACTGAGCTGTGCCCACACCAAGCCTTCCATATCTGTCCCATTCTTCTGTGCTGTGGTTGACCAGGATACGCTCCCTCTCATCGTAAAGAAGAAATGTTACAGGGGGCACCTGGGTGGCTCAGATGGTTAAGCGTCTGCCTTTGGCTCAGGTCATGATCCCAGGGTCCTGGGATCGAGTTCCGCATCAGGCTCCCTGCTCAATGCAGAGCCTGCTTCTCCCTCTCCCTCTGCCATTCCCTCTGCTTGTGCTCTTCTGTCTATCTCTCTGTCAAATAAATAAATAAAATCTTCAAAAAAAAAGATAAAGAAATGTTACGGATCCTCAGCAAAGAGTAGGCAGCAGGAAAAATTAAAGAGCTACTTCTAAGTTTAACCTCTATAACCTAGCTCCATTAGTTTACTTCACGTGGAAATCACCAAAGTATCAGACATAACAGCATTTATACCCAAGTGTGAAAGCACAGCCAGGGGTCAAACATAAGTGAACTGGGAATTTCCATGTCACTGTATCCATCTTCTGGCGCAGATAACAACATAGGGTGGCTACATGTAAGAAGTAAAGGAGAACCAATACATAAAGGAAACCAAGCAAAAATCAAAGCCTGTCTGGAAAAAAAGAACAAACAGTTCTTCTTGAGAGAATGCTACAATCAAATTGAAACACCGTGAAACTCATGAGAATTCCCAGGATAACGTAATAATGTGCCTTTGATCAAGGGCTGACACCAAAGGCCAGTGGAATGATGTCTGTGAGATACTGTATCTGAAGTGGAGAAATACAGTCACCGTGCTCTTCTAATTGCTAACAGCACACATTAGGGCTGCATTACCTAGGTCATTATTCTTTGTGATGGCGGCTGCCACCCTTGTGCGAGGCCCTTGCTTGGTAAACTGATATCCAAACTTGAGGATCCTTGAATTCTCCTCAAGCATCTGGGCAATTTCCATCTCCACAGCAGTTCCCAGCTGCTGTCTCTGGTTACAGGTGCAGACACATACACAGGACGACCAAGAAGAAAGAGGAAACAGTTACTTGCATGGGAGAGATGCATAGCTACTTGCTGGACAAAAAGGTAAAGGGGTAAAAGTCTCACATTGAAAGGAATACAGTCACTTGAGACTTGCTCCTTGTCTAGAAGCAAAATCTGACAGCCAAATCTGCTGGAATACTAAACTGAAAAGACTAAGCCAATTATTTATGAAGGACAAGATGATTTCACATGTAAAATTAAAGCAAAACTAATATTCAGTGTTTCCAATTTACCCCAGTTTCTATGGTTTAAACAAAAGGGTGTTTTTAAGTAGCAAAACTCTCATAGCAATCAATCCAATTACTGAATTTTCTATTCTGGGATCCATTTCCAAAAATAATTAAAGATCATCAACCAGTTGGCCATTCTTTCTCAGCAGATTCTCAACAGGAGATCCCAAAGAAACTTCATTGTGGTTTGAACCATGGCCAGGAGAATTATCAAACCCTGAAGGGGTTATTGGGCTGTAGAAAAATCCCCAAGTTTTTTAAGTGGGTGAAAAGAGGTTTCTTGTTTTTTTAAGCTGAGGTATAGAATTAAAAAACTAAAAGCAGAATAAAAAAACAGGGGCATGTAAATATAGGAATTTAAAATTAATCAAAATTTAACTAACAAAAATTAAAATTCAATTTTTCCATAATATATTTATTAAAAAATTTTAAGTTAAAAAGTATAGGCTTGGGGCGCCTGGGTGGCTCAGTTGTTGAGTGTCTGCCTTCGGCTCAGGTCATGATCCCTGGGTCCTGGGATCGAGCCACACGTTGGGCTCTCTGCTCCGCGGGAAGCCTGCTTCTCCCTCTCCCACTCCCCCTGCTTGTGTTCCCTCTCTCGCTGTCTCTCTCTGTCAAATAAATTAAAAATAAAAAATCTTTAAAAAAGTATAGGCTTATTTAGAAAAGGCACATAAAAAGTGTATAAAATACAAAAGCTCCCGTCCCCCAGTATTTCCATTCCGCATAGAGAAAGCCAGTTTGGCATATGATATGTAGTCTTTTAAAACATTTTCTATGCATTCATATGTATACCTAATCATATGTACATGTATGCTTTTTCACATAAATGGATTATACTGGCATATTGTTCTGAAACATTTTTATTTTTCATTTAACATTAAGAACACCTTTTCCATTTCTACTATTCCAAACAGTGCTGCTGCAGTGAATTTCTCTTGCACACATAGTATATCCTAGGATATTTCTGCAAGTGTGCCTGTAGGGTAAATTAGGGCTGGGCCCAAGAGTAAGCATGTTTCAAATTTTGATACATTACTCACTCACCCTCAAAAGTATGACAGTTTTTTACTCCTACTAACAGTGTTTGAGATTTACTGTTTTCCCTACCCTGGCCAACATGGGATATTATCAATCTTTTTCCCTTTGTCATTCTAATAGGTGAAGATTTATATTTCACTTCTATTTATTTAATTGCTTTAATTTGCATTTCTCAAATTATGAATAAGAACAATTTTCTTATGCATCTGTATTTCTCTTTTTGGAAACTACCAAACTCTGTCATTTGTATATTTTTTTTAACCAGCCCATGGTTCCTTTTTTTTTTAATTTGTAAGTTTCTTATATATTAGGAAATTAGCCTTTTGTCAAATGTGTTGAAAATACTTTGTTCAGTTTGTCTTTTGACTTTCTTTTTGCTTCTCTTTTCATTTTCATATGGCTAAATTTATATCAATTTCCTAGATTTTATGTCATGTTTAGGAAGGCTCTTCTGATTTCTTTTATCAGAAATCCTTCTGATTTCTTCCATTTTATGATTTCATATATTTTCATATTTAAATCTTCATTTCATCTGGAGTGAATTTTAGTATAAGAATCAAGATAGAGCCCCAACTTAATCTTGTTCCAAAATGCTAATGAAATTGTCCCACTTTCACTTTATCTTTTCCTCACGGAGGAACTTTGCTACAAAATTCTCAGGTGCACTTGGATGTGTTTCTGGAATCCACTGTTCTGCCGTCTATTTCTATGCCAGAATCACGCAATTCTGATTGCTTTATTATATTTTAAAAATACACCTTTTAAATTTGGAAAATTTAAGTACTGAGTAGATGGAGGAAAAAATTTAGGGAGAAACTTTTATGTTCTAGGCAAGGCCTAAGGTCTAATTCTTTGCTCCTTTTCTTTCTTTTCACCCAGCAACCTGTCAAACCAGTCTCTCCCCAAGAAATTAACAAAATGTGGTATTTCCAGTTAGACAATAACAACTCTGGGTATCCAGTGGAGAGATTAGTGTTCTAAGCTAATGGGAAGGAGAGGCAGAGAAAAGAGATTCTAACCTCACAGTTCCATGAACAACTTTAGCTCACGATACGCTTTAGAACAGTGGGCTGTACTAAGGATTGAGACTTGAGCTGAGGCTGGGGCTGCCATAGCTATGCCTTATGCCCCTGGTGCTATCCAAGGGCAGAAGGAGCTCATGGGGGTTGTGGCTGATGGATGGGGAGGGATGACATAAAAGTCCCTTTACTTCCCCTCACAAATTTCACGCCTTTGGAGTCCTGCACTTGGGTAACATGCAGGATGGGCATGCTGATGGCTATATAAGGGATGTAGGAGCTGCAGAAAATTATATTGGGAGGGAGCATAGAAAAGAAAGGGAGAAAGTAATGTAACATAGGGCACTTTTCTTTCTCAGCCTGAGTCTTTTTATTTGAGGTCTTCTGTGTTACATAAACCCAGGGCAACAAATGGAGGCCAAAATTTCTTATAATTTGTCTGTTTCCCTTTTATAAGTCACTAAATACAAAGGAAAAAGAAAAATAAAAGTTTAAGCATACATTTCTTCTGTTTTTTTTAATGAACTTTTTTGTTTACTCAAATTTACTGAGCAGTTACCCATCTGTTTCATCAATATGCATCACTGATTGTCCTTCTTACATGGGGCATCTGATTAAATCATTACCTATTTACCCAGAGCCTAGCCACGGCAGCCTGCCCCAGTGACCGGCTCTCAGCAAGGCCTTCATTTCGGCATGGCTGCCTGATGCAAGGGTGCTAAATTGGTCTCAGCTACTGGCCCTGCCTGAGGAAACGGTCTTGCAGATTATTTTATTTCAAACCCTTCATAACACAGATGAGGAAACTGAGGTCTACTTCTAATAGCCTATGAGTCGATGAGCAGAATTTGGATGGAAATCAAGTTCTGACTCTGAATTTCCTCTTTCTTGGAATAAAGCAAGGAATTTTTCCGGTTGCTCTAGAAAGTCTCAATCCTTTTTCTTGTCAGAAGTGTAAAGAAGCTATTTCAGAGTCATATTGGGGAATAAAGTGCAAAAACTACACCATTCCATTCTAGATGATTGAAAAGGGGTGATAAAGTTGATGTAAGGGGACTTAAGAGAGCAAATTCAGGCTTCGTATTTCAGGGTCTTCTTCACATGCATTAGAAAAAGCTGCTCTAGTCTCAATGTTCAGGTTTCCATCTCATTCATTAGATGTAGGGTTGCCAGATTTAGCAAATAAAAATACAGGACACCTAGTTAAATTTGAATTTTGATTAATAAAAATAAATAATTTCAATAAATAAAAAGAAAAAAATATATTTTAGTATACTATGTCCCAAATATTTCATGGTACATACTTATACTAAAAATTATTTGTTGTTTATCTGAAATTCAAATTTAACTGTATTTTATCTGGCAATCCTAATCAGGTGGTATCTTACAAGGAACCAGGAACATAGTTTCTGGAACATTACTTCAGATACGGGGTTTCATAATGGCAAAACCAACATAAGAAGTTAAATACACTTTGGAATAAGTTATCCACTTCTGTCGTAGATGCCCTGGAAATAATATGCTAAGAGCTCACTCAACTGCTTCCTAATGCTAGTTCATCTGATAAATATTCCTGAGCTATCACTTCTTTTCTTTCAGTTCATATTTCTCTCTGGCTCATTTTCCTACTCTCCCACTCCCTGATGCCTCTTTTTAAATTTACTAGCAGCTGGACACACACCAGGATACATGGCATCCAGCTTCCTGAGGGTGTACGGCTGGGTGTATATATCCCCTTCACATATCTTCATTTGGGAAAGCTGCTTTGGTGATGCATCCCTTCTGGGGAGGATGAGAATAAAGCAGCACCTGTCTTCTGTAGCTTCCCCTGCTCCCCTGGCAGCAAGCCTCTGGAGGAGTCGAGGGGCAGAGGACCCGCCCTGAAGGAGCCCATGTGTCCTAAGTAGCAAAAAAGGATAGTAGAGCTGTTCATGGGAACTGTTGGGGGTTTCCATACTTAAGCAAAAGTCCTGGGTAGAATCCCGGGGCTCTATCAGCTCTTGGAGGGTTTAGACTAGGGAATTTCCAGACATGCAGGGGGCACTCTCAGCGGGCACTCTCCCCACTGTCCCTGCCACACCCCCCCCCCATAGGAGAATGCTCACAGCACAAGGCTCCATGTTGTCTCCTCTTTCTGGGCCATTGTAGGGCCCTTTCTTCCCACTAGACAGTGTCTAGGCCTCTCAGACTCACTGAGTCCCATGGCAGACAGTTCCCTGTACTGAAAGGAGCAGGGCACAGCACTATGCTGAGAACTGAGGCTTGCTGTCCAACAGCAGGAGCCAGCTGAAGCCAGCAGAGCCACTGGAAACACAGCAGGTGGATGCTGGGAAAAGGCCTTCAGGGTACAGGAAGACGTGGCCCTAGAGACAAGCCGCTTGCTTTGGCTGTTGATGGGAAGCTAAGAAACACTGCAACAGCTGAGACCGTGATCGCACTATGGGTGTGGCCTGCTCCTCTAAGCCAGACCATCTTCTAGAACCTGGATTCCTCTAAACAGGCTCTGTGGCCAGGCTCAGACTGCGGGAGTCCAGTTCTGCTCATTTTTTTTTTCAGCTCTGGCCACCTCCAACCAAGAGCAAGGAGTCTGTCTCTGGGCATGGCCAGCCTGCTTTCTCCTTGTGGCCCTAGCCCCAGTGAGAGGCAAGAGCAAGGCTGGGACAGGACTGGTTGCGGTTCCTGCTAGGAGGCAAGGATGATGGCTGCACAAAGTAGCCCTCAACACCTCCCCCTTCCCCCACCCTTGTGCCTGACTAGCTGAAGGCTTGGGGGGAGCTGGCCCTTTCTGTCTCAGGCTGCCTCACCGTGCATCGCGTTTGGTTACTGACATGCACTCCCATACACCCTCCACAAGCCAGCAGCTGTTGTAACTTACAGGAAAGCCGGAACATCGAATTGAGTCACAGAACTTTGGCTTTAAACTCACTGCCTTGTGGCCCCCTCTTCACATGCACCCTGTGAGTCATACCTGGTTGTCGATCTTGATCTCCGTCAGGGTGTCATTCTCTCTCAGTGCCTCCACCAGGGCCAGGATCCCGGACCCAGTGATAAAATTGGATTCGATGTTGAGGCTTTTCAAGGTCTTGTTTACTTTCAGCATATCTGCAAAAGCCTTATTATGCAAAAAAGAAGTAACCAGTAATGCTTGTAAAGATTTATTTACTGAACTCCCAGCTCCAAATTAAACACAGATGTTCTTTATGTACTTAAAGAAAAACTTAGTCAAATCAAACTAAGAATAATTCAGCCCAGCAGCCCAGACTTATGAATTTTGCATACCTGTAAAAGAAAAACTAAAACAAAAAATCCTGACACAGGATTACCAACGTTGTTAGGTAAGAACGTTGAGTAAAATCCCACTACCATCTGTTATCATTAGCAGTTTGTTTTTTTGTGCATGTGTGCATGTGGTTTTTGTTTGTGTTTTTGAGAAAAAGACATTTTAATATTAGGAGAAATGTAGAAAGGACATGATCTCAGAATTATTTTATTTTGTCCCTTTTCCTATGAATGGATAAAAACACTTTACCTTTGACTAGCATGTGGGCACTACTGATGTAGTCATATTATTTTCAGGTCATCTATAAATTAGAATTCCTCAAAGATAACTTTTGGAATATAATCACCATTCAGAGTAGGAAACCCACTAGAGACCCCCAGATCAAAACAAGAGATATATACGTGCACCTGCCTGTTCCCCTTGCACCCAAAGTTGGCCCCTGGCATGAAGAAAAGATGCCATTTTTAAATGACTGGAACTCTCACAGTGCAAGAAAAACGAAACAAAACAGAGGGCCATTACCTTGAAGAATTGTCAAAATACAGAAAAAAGACAGCCTGGTGAAGAAATGACCACAAAAAAAGCTGTTGCCTGAGACACCAGAGGTGAGGTAAGGGGCATCTCCTGAAAGAACTGCCTTCAGAACAGACTGGAACAGCTAGAGCAGATGGAGAGCACGTCGCCCCTCCCTGCAGCTTCCCAGGAAAAAAGCAACTGCCAGCACCCCTGTCAATGAAAACTTTCCTAGGAAGAGGCTCCAGTGAGGCCAGGAGCTGAGACAGAAGCCGTGCAGAAACAGAGGCACCCTCAGACCTCCCACGAGACACAGTGTGGGAGAAATGGAGAGGAGAGGCAGCTTTGTCCAGGAATGAACCCCTCCCAGAGTGAAGCCTTCCTAGCCGTAGACCTGTGGGGGACTCCCAGCCACCTGACAGCTCCCCATGCCTTCAGAGAGGGCTGCCAGTCAATCCACCTGCCTGCTCACAAAAGCATTCATTCATTCATTCATTCATTCATTCATTCAATCAGAAAAGACTATCAGGCTTCTACAGTGTGCCATGTGCCAGCAGCAGAGAAAAGAAAAATCTCTGTCCTAAGAGGGCAGTTGATAAATAAATAAAATACATAGCCTGTCGGATGGTGACAAATGGGAAACAGAAAGGGCCTCCCTTTTGAGGGAGAGGTCTGTCGGTGAAACAGACAGACACAACTGCAGAGGAAACGATCCTGGTTTACACAAAACCACCTCGTTCTCTATTCGCAAGTCTGGCAACCAGTGACTACCGGACAAAGTAGGAAAACCAACCTCATGGAAGAGAAAAGCCAAGTTGACCAAATAGGACAGCATGCCATAAAGGGAATAGAAACAAATGTAAAAAATCTAATTGTTATTCTCCCTCTTCTCTCCCACCAAAAAAAGAAAAAGAAAGAAAACACATTGTATCCATAAAATAAATACTGGCTATTGTGGGGAGAAAAAAAGAATTTGAACAAGAAAATGTTCTGAAAAGTTTAAATACTACATTGAAATAAAGAAAGTTAATGGACATCCAGAATTACAAAATGAGCATGGCTGAAGAGCACATTGGTGAGTGAGAACATAAATCTGGGGCTATTCCCAAGAAGGTAGAGTAAAAAGACAAAGCTAGAAAATATGAGACAAATGTTAAAAGATATGGGGAAAGATACAGAAGTTCAACATTCATCTAGTAGGAGTTTCAGAAGGACTAAAGAAAAAAGACAACACAAGGGAAGAAATTATAAAATAATAGGAAAAAAATTTCCTAGAGTTGAAGAGAGTTATGAGTCTTCATCTGAAAGAACCCATAGAATGCTCAGCAAAATGAGTAAAGACGACTCAGAAGTGGACACATACAAGTGAAATTTCAGAACTCCAAGGGAAAAGAGAAAGTCCTAAAAGTTTCTAGTAAGAAAAAATAAGTTACTTACAAAGGAACAAGACTCAGACCAGCATTAGTCAGTAGACAACAAGGCCCATGAAAACAGAGATTTATATATTTACATAGCCAGGTAGTTGTAAATACATACTGGTGAAAAGTTTTAAATTTTTACAATCAACCTATATACAAAACATAGATTATAAGGGCATAAAACATATAAAACTGAAATGCGTGAAAATAATGGAATAACTGTAATTTGGAGGTAGAAAAAGGAGGGATGAAGGCAGATTATAGAACTGCTCTCAACTTTTCTAATGGAGAAACAAAAATGATCTAACATGATAAATCAGAAACAAAAAAGTATGTATATCAGGGGCGCCTGGGTGGCTCAGTTGGTTAAGCGACTGCCTTCGGCTCAGGTTATGATCCTGGAGTCCTGGGATCGAGTCCCGCATCGGGCTCCCTGCTCGGCGGGGAGTCTGCTTCTCCCTCTGACCCTCCCCCCTCTCATGTGCTCTCTCTCTCTCATTCTCTCTCTCAAATAAATAAATAAAATCTTTAAAAAAAAAAAGTATGTATATCAGGGGTTTTCTACTCTGCCTGCATGTTAGAATAAATGTTAAGATATATAAGGTATTGGGCCCCACCCCAGATGAATTAAATCAGAATCTCAGGCTATAGCCTGGATTGCTATATATTTTTTTAAGATTTTATTTATTTATTTATTTATTTACTTACTTACTTTATTTATTTATTTATGAGAGAAAAAGAGAGAGTAAAAAGCCAGGGCGGGAAGAAAGGGAAAAGTAGAATTCATGCTGAGCACAGGGCCTGACAGAGGGCTCAATTCCACCACCTGAACCAAAACCAAGAGTCAGGACACCCAACCGACTGAGCTACCCAGGTGTCCCTGGACTTCTGTATTTTTAAAAAGCTCTCTGGATGATTAATGTTCACTAGGATTGACAACCACTTTTTTTTTTTTAAGTTTTATTTATTTGCCAGAGAGAGAGTGCACAGGGGGGAGGGGCAGAGGGAGAGGAAGAAGCAGACTCCCTGCAGAGTAGAGAGCGATGTGGGACTCCATCCCAGGACCCTGAGATCATGACCTGAGCCAAAGGCAGATGCTTAACCAACTGAGCCACCCAGGTGCCCCCCCTTTTTAAAAATAATTCTATTTTAGGATTGACAACCACTTTGATTAAAGTCATAAAGACAACAACTAAAAGAATGAAAAACAAATTGCTAATACTGATTGCTCTGGGGAATGGAACAAGGAACTTCTTAATTATTTTAATTATTTTTATGGTGGAAAACACAGGGAGAAGGAAGAGAAGGAATCTAACTTGGGACCAGAATAGCATTTCTCAACCTTGGCACCAATGACGTTTGAGGCCAGAGGATTCTTTGTTGTGGGACGTTGTCCTGTGTCCTACAGGATGTTTAGCAGCTTCTGAGACCCATTAAATGCCAATAGCACCCTTCCCAGTCATGACAACCAAAAAATAGCTTCAGACACTGCCAAATGTCCCCTGCAGGGCAAAATTACCCTGAGTTGAGAAGCACCAGACTAGAAGAATAATACTGTATATTAGTCAAGCAGTTGCTTTAAGTGCAAAGAAAGCTCGAAGATTTGGACTGACATTATTGTACACCATGTAAATTAAAGTGCATTTATTCATTGCTAGGTCCTTAATTAGAATTAAATGTACACATTTTAATTAGAGCATCAGAAGGAAATGCATCAGGCTTTTCCTTATGGACGCTCCAGGCTTCAGAATTATGTTCATTATTAGAATAACAAAATGGAGCAATTAGGCCTTTATAAAAAAAAAGGCTGCAGGACTTCCTGGCAAGTAGCCAGGATCTTGCCACTTTCTTTTAAACTTGAGAAAACACTTTTCTCATACCAAACAAAACAGGGGAGACCCAGCCAAACATAACCCTGGGCTGCAGGCCCAAGTTAATTTCAGTTAAGCAAATATTTAAGCATCTATTACATGTGCTGGGGATAACATCAGTAAAACAAAGACTCAATTTCTTAAATGTTATATAAATAGTTACAGTAGAAATACATTTTTAAAGAAAAGGTTTTGCTTTCTGTACTTTACAGGATTACATGGATTTTACATGGAAATCCAGTGTCCTGCATTGTCCAAACCTGCACCATCCAAAGGGTAGCCTCAAGATACATGTGGCTCTTAAGCCCTTGGAAAATGGCTGGTCTGAATTAAGACATGCTATAAATGGAAAACTTGCACTGGATTTCAAAGATGTGGTATGAAAAAAAGTAATTAAAATACCTTATTACATTTTCAAATTATATTTTGAAATGATAATATTTGGGATATACTGGTTTAAATAAAATATATTATTAAAATGAATTCCATCTATTTCTTTTTTTTTAATGTGGCTACCAGAAAAATTTTAAATCATACATGTAGCTTACATTTTATTTGTTATAGACAGTGTTCTCCTAAACTCTTGACTTTTATGTGGCATTATTATAAATAGTAAAAGTGTTTTTTATTTTTTTTAAAGATTTTATTTGACAGATACATAGCAAGAGAGGGAACACAAGCAGGTGAAGTGGGAGAGGGGCTCTCATTTTATTTGTTATAGACAGTGTTCTCTTAAACTCTTGACTTTTATGTGGCATTATTATTAATAGTAAAAGCGTTTTTTATTTTTTATTTTTTTTTGAAGATTTTATTTATTTATCTGACAGAGACATAGCAAGAGAGGGAACACAAGCAGGGGGAGTGGGAGAGGGCGAAGCAGGGTTCCTACCAGGCAGGGAGCCCAATGTGGGACTCGATTCCAGGACCCTGGGACCATGACCTGAGCTGAAGGCAGACGCTTAATGACTGAGCCACCCAGGTGCCCTGTAAAAGCGTTTAATGTATTTGGACGTTTTCTGCTCCCTGCTAGAGATGTGGTTACACGGAAGTGCTTGGGGCATTGTGAACTGAACTTGATTATAGGTCACTTAAATGCACTTCCTGGCTAGTCTACATGCTGGGTAATCTCAGTGAAGTTACTCAAGCTCTATGAGCCTCAGTTGCCTCATCTACAGAATGCGGATAATGCCATCTCACATAGACATAATTTGCCTACGTTCACAATAACCCCACAAGTGCCTCACTGAATCCATTTCTGAACTTTATTTTCTGCAGTTTTTAAAAAAGTTTTATTTATTTATTTGACACAAGGGGGGGGGGGAAGGAGAATGAGGGGGGGAGGGGCAGAGGGAGAGGGAGAAGCAGGCTTCCCTGGGAGCAGGGAGCCTGATGCAGGACTCGATCCCAGGACCCCGGGGATCATGATCTGAGCTGAAGACTTAACTAAATGAGCCACCCAGGCGCCCCTCTGTTTCTGAATTTTAAAAAGAAAAATTTCTTGAAACTCTTTGCTTTAACACTGGTCTTTAATTATTTTCTTCTCTCTTTTTTAAAGTAATCTCTACACCCAAAGTGGGGCTCAAACTCAAAACCCCGAGATCAAGAGCTGCATGCTGTATCAACTGAGCTAGCCAGCCAGGGAGGTGCCCCCATCTTTAATTCTTTGCAGTGAGTTGTTCAGTCATAATCACCGTTTGAAGATCTCTATTGCCTCTGGGGTAATCAATTTTCAACCTACAGAAAGGTTCTGGCATGGCTGAAAGGAGAACCATCTGAGGGCTGCCAGGTGAGGTCTGGACCATAGGAAGCCATCTAGGAATCAGGCCAGAGAGGCTTGTCTCTTCACACCCTTAAGGACTGCAACTATTCCTTACAATTGTGTGGTGTGCTTGTCACATGGTATGCAATCAACACATGGTTGCTGCGTTAAAAACAGTATTGAAGAATTTATTAGATTTAGAATTTTACTCCATTTAGCAAGTTATCTATTTGACCGGGTAGAAGAGTTAGACTATTTGCTAGTGCTGTTGTCGATGGCCTATAACATATTTCCATCCCTGCAATTTTACTGTAATGTATTATATTGAAGTGACAACCATTTCTTTCTTTTCTTTTTTAAGATTTTATTTATTCACTTGACAGAGAGAGAGACAGCAAGAGAGGGAACACAGCAGGGGGAGTGGGAGAGGAAGAAGCAGGCTTCCTGCTGGGCAGGGAGCCCGATGCGGGGCTTGATCCCAGGACCCTGGGATCATGACCTGAGCCGAAGGCAGACGCTTAATGACTGAGCCACCTAGGCGCCCAAAAAATCATTTCTTTATTCATCCCTTTAGTTACTTACATACAAATGTACTGTGAATATTTTGCTTTATTGAAAACAAATCTACTAAATGACAGAGATCGTAAAAATCGTATACTGAAAAAAATCCTTAAATTGTTATTTTCACCTTTACCAATGATCTGGTTCTGCTCTTTTTCTATTTTAATGATACCTTTCAAATTCAAAACTGCTTTCAACTTACACATTTACATATGTAATAACTGCTGGTGAAAACATCAATTCTGTAGCTTAGTCCTTCTTCCATGAGTACTTATTTTATATATGCTGTGGTCAGCATGGAAATATTCTTGATTGCTGAGAGGTCAGAGGGCATGTTCATTCATTCATTTAACAAGCGATGTTTGAACATCTACTCTGGGCCAGCCCTGTGATAGTTAGCCATTACTTTCTTATTTTATTTTATTTTATTTTATTTTTTTAGGGGTGGAGCAGAGGCAAAGAGAGAGAATTTTAAGTAGGTTCCACGCCCAGGGCACAGCCTGACTCAGGACTGGATCTCATGACCCTGAGATCATGACCTGAGCCGAAATCCAAAGAGTCAGATGCTTAACCGACTGAGCCACCCAGGGAGCCCCCATGTCACCTGTTTTTAATGCTATTTTAGGTCTTCTGACAGACATGTTACTTTTAATCACATCATCAAATCAAGAAAACTTGTTTTTCTAGCTTGATTCAAGGGCTGAGCATGAGATGCTGTAGAACAACAGGCTGATGCTCAGGCTCCCCCAAATTGACATATTTTAGCAAATGTATCACAGGGAGACACTGTGTATAGATACAGCATAGCTTGATGGCTAAACCATCCTGCTTGTAGAACCAGAAAAACCTGGTGGTGCCACTTCTGGCTGTGTTACCCTGGAAAAGATATTTAACCTCTCTGAGCCTCAGATTGCTCATTTGTTAAAGTGGGCGCTAATAATAAAACATACTTCATAGTATTACAGTGAGGATTAAGTGAGCTGACATGTGTAAAGCACCGAGATTACTGCTGGCATTTACTAATTGCCCAAGAAATGTTAGCTATTAATAGTAATAGCACTGACGGTGCTAATAGTTGTAGTATTTACTTGGGTCCAGGGGCTTCCTTATTTAGCTGAATTACCTGAAATGCATGGAAGGAACCGGCTTTCGGTTGGTTATTTTTTCACATTCTGGTTAACAGTGTCAAAAAAGATTTTAAAATCTGGATATTTTTGAAACATACTAATCCATTTCAAAGACTAAAATGAAATATACTTTTATATGTGCTGAGTTCCTGTAGAGTTGGGGGTCTTTTAATATCCATTGATGTGACAGAATGTTAATGTAGATACAGAAGTTTCAGAAAACTTGTACTAAGCACAGAGCAAAATCTAAATGTTTATTTAGCTCAATGACTAATCCAATCTTATTTCTTTCTCCTAAAAGTGTAGTGCTCACAAAATTTTAGTTAATTCGAAGTGCCTGACATTTGGCTTCTGTTTTATTGTCTCATTATAACTGATTGTGTTTAACTGTGTAGAAAATATATTTACCAGATCTAAAAATTGTTAATTGGTAAAACAAATTAAAAATAGTTTCTATTGAATTAAATACTTTCATGTTATATTTCTTTTTTTTAAAAGATTTTATTTATTTATTTGAGAGAGAGAGAGAGAGAATGACAGAGAGAGAGAGCACGAGATGGGGGAGGGTCAGAGGGAGAAGCAGACTCCCCACCGAGCAGGGAGCCCGATGCGGGACTCGATCCTGGGACTCCAGGTTCATGACCTGAGCCGAAGACAGTCGCTTAACCAACTGAGCCACCCAGGTGCCCTCATGTTATATTTCTTTTTTTTTTTTTTAATATATTATTTATTTATTTATTTGACAGAGAGATAGCACAAGTAGGCAGAGTGGCAGGCAGAGGGAAAGCAAGAAGCAGGCTCTCTGCTGAGCAGGGAGCCTGATGCAGGGCTCGATCCCAGGGCCCTGGGATCATGACCTGAGCCAAAGGCAGCCGCTTAACTGACTGAGCCACCCAGGCACCCTTCATGTTATATTTCTAAAAAAAATTTCATTTTCTAAAATTTTACTCACAATCGCCACAGGGTCATTGCTACGGGTTGCAGCCAGGCTGAACTTCTTTATGTGAGTGTTGGTTTCCAGAGCTTTTGCAAATTCCTTCAGGGTTGGTATTGGAATGTTCTAAAATGGGGAAGACATAGACAGTTGATAAATCATTCTGTAGCTCCCCCTACCCCAAGTCAAGGACCCACAGCCTTTAAATTCCTTATGGGTTTAGATGGCTAAATGCATGAAATTCTTTCTAAAAGACTCATTAGCCATTGTCCAGCAACCAAGCCATCCTGGGCCAATAGCACCACTTAGTGGCTAATAAGGGAATCTAACACAATAAGACATTCTCTGGCATCACCTTCCTGTTCACTTTAGCCAAGAAATTATGCACATACCAAACTTCCCTCCTTTTCTCTTTCATTCTCTATATTCTAGCCAGACTGATCTACTTGCCATTCTTTAAACATATCATGGTCTTTCTCTCCTCCAAACTCTTAGGTATGCTTTTCCCTTTGCCTGGAGATTCTATTGTCCTTTTCTCTGATTAATTCCTATTCATCTTTCAAGACCTAGCTGAAATATCACCTCCTTTGTTTATTGACTCTCCTAAGCCAGATGAAAATTTCCTTACCTGCAATTCCACATTTGTCAGTTTACCCTATCAGGTTGTAGTTATTTATTTAGTGTCTTTCTCCTAATATAAGTTTTCCAGAATGAAGACCAAATGAATCTTATTCTCTCTTCCACAGCACTCAGCACAATCCTGACCACTGGGAGGGAGGCAGTATGGGGTGCACTAGAGGTTGACATGAGTCCTGGGTGCACTACAGACTAGCTCTGTGGCCATGAGCAACTTAACCTCTTTAAGTGCCACTAAAGATTAAATGAGATACAGCAGTCTACCTTTATCCATGGGGGATATGTTCCAAGACCCCCATGGATGCCTGCAACCACAGACAGCACTAAACACAATATATATTATGTTTTTTCCTATACATACATACCTCTGATAAAGTTTAATTTATAAGTTAGGTACAGTAAGAGATTGACAACAGTAATCAATAATTAAATAGAATAATTGTAAAAATATAATAAAAGCTATATGAGTGTGGTCTCTCTCTCTCTCTCAGAATATATCTATACTCACCCTTCTCCTTCTTGTGATGCTGTGAGATGATAAAGTGCCCGGTGATGAGGTGAGGTGAATGACATAAGCATTGTAACACAAGCTCAGGCCACTACTGACCTGACAGTATGTCAGGAGGACCACCTACTTCTGTACTGTGGTTGACTGAGGCTAACTGAAACCATGAAAAGCAAAATCACAGATAACAGGGGACTACTGTAATGAATTTCATTTAGCAAAGGGTATGGCACATAGCGGGTACTCAATACAAGTCAGTTGTTATTATTAAGTGGCAGATGTTGGCCCAAAAAGAAGTAACAAAACAGGTATCAGGCAAAGTTCTCCCTCTCTTTCTACCTCACACATACCCCTCCTTCCCCTCCCTTTGAGAGTAACATGACTAATTACCAAATAGATAAAGCAGAAGTGACAACTGTGACTTCAGAGAATAGGCCATAAAAGGCGCTGTGGCTTCCTGCTTGCTCTTTCTTTTTCTCTTTGACCACTTGCACTGGGGGAAGCACACCGTCATAGGTGAGGACACTGAGGCAGCCCAAAGGAGAGAGCCATGTGGTGAGAAACTGAGGCCTCCTGCCAACAGCCATATTAGTGTGCCATCTTGAAAGTGGATCCTTCTGCCCCAGTCAAGCCTTCAGATGATCGCAGACCTTGATAACAGCTTCACTACAGCCTCACTTGAGATCCTGAGCCACAACTACCCAGCTCGGTCCTGATTCCTGATACTCAGTAACTGTGTGAAATAACAAATGTTTATTGTTTTAAGCCTCTAAGTTTTGGAGTAATTTATTACCCAGCAGTAGATAACCAATATTCTATGTTTAACATAAATACTAAGATTCTTTCCAAAGAATTCCAGAAACAACTTTTTAAAAAATTTCTTCTTTTGAATATCAGGATATCTTGTCTCAAAACTGGTGACTACAAGGGATTGGACACAGGTGTGAAAGCAGGCAATCGGTCATTGCCATTAAATTTTCTAACCTCATGATAAATCAAGTGACTGACAATCATAATGAAGTACCTTAATGTTGTTGAGGTTGACTTCTTGCAGGCTGGGATCATTGGCTTTCATCTGCTGTAGACTTACTTCCACATTGGTAGGATTGGGTGGTTCCTCAAATATTGGCTTGACCTTCTCACCTTTGACAACATCTAACACACAAATTTTAATTTTATTTTTGCTTATTTATTTTTTTACAAATTTTAATTTTAAAAAGAAAATGTAAGGGTTCTCCTGCCAAAATCAGAGATGACTTCCCCAAAAATGATCTTTCCTTCCATGCTCTGATTCCAATAATACTCTAATATCAATGATAGTACAGCTTATTCTCAACAAAGCAAACACGGGAATGGTATGGTTCTGAGTTACAGTTTCAAAGGGGCAGTTATTGCTGCTGTACATGGACCACTTTCAGACTATAATAATCAAGCCACAGGATCTGAGATGCAAAAAAGAAGAAGAGTCTTTTTATTTCCAAAACCATACTATTCCTCTGGACTGTTTCTTAAAAATATATATTTGGGGCGCCTGGGTGGCTCAGTCGTTAAGGCGTCTGCCTTCGGCTCAGGTCATGGTCCCAGGGTCCTGGGATCGAGCACCGCATCGGGCTCCCTGCTCCGCAGAAGGCTGCTTCTTCCTCTCCCACTCCCCCTGCTTGTGTTCCTGCTCTCGCTGTCTCTCTCTGTCAAATAAATAAATAAAATCTTAAAAAAGTATATTTATTTACTTACTTATTACTTATTCTTTTTAAGTAGGCTCCATGCCCAACATGGGGTTCAAACTCATGACCCTGAGATCAAGAGTCGCATACTCTACCAACTGAGCCAGCCAGGTGCCCTCTCTGGCCTCCTGACCATACCCCACCCTTCTCTGATATCCATTTTGGAGATTTAATTTTGACAAAGATATGGGAAGAGAAACGGGTAGAAAGGCAAAATGAAACAATCTCAAAAGCAGTTAAAAGAAAATGTTTGCAGCATATATTTAACATATACAGTATTAATATCTCAATATACACAGAGCTCCTACAAATCAGTAGACAACCCAATTAAAAATGAACAAATAATAAGATCAGAAGAGTCTCTGCCACTCAACCAAAAATATAAAAAGTCATTAAACTGTGAAATTAAAAAATGAAATACCTTTTGACTAGTAAAAAAAAATGTAAAAAGAGATAACATGTACAATTGGCAACAATGTGGAGTAAAACGCATTGTCTTATGTTGTTGGTGAGAATGTAAACTGATGCAAACTTTTTGGGACAGTCATTTGGCCTCACCTACCAAAATATAAAATATGGGTACACTATGACCCAGTAATTATGTATCTAGAAGTCTAATCTACAGACAAAAATAGCATGGATACATAAAGACATATATTCAGGGATGTTCACTGACGTATTACTCGTGACAGCAAAACATGATAAACAAAATGCCCATCAATGTGAAAATGGCTAAATAACTTATAGCATAATCACATAATAAGGTGCTACCTATTCATTAAAATGAGGCAAACCTACATGTACTGATAAAAGAAGAGAACCACAATTTGAAAAAAAGTTAATGGAAAAGGAAATACGTATAAATATAACAAAATATGTACAAGATCTATATGAGGAAAACTACCAAACTTTACTGAAAAAAAAAGAGGGGCGCCTGGGTGGCTCAGTCGTTAAGCGTCTGCCTTCGGCTCAGGTCATGGTCCCAGGGTCCTGGGATCGAGCCCCACATCGGGCTCCCTGCTCCGCGGGAAGCCTGCTTCTCCCTCTCCCACTCCCCCTGCTTGTGTTCCTGCTCTCACTGTGTCTCTCTCTGTCAAACAAATAAATAAAATCTTAAAAAAAAAAAAAAAAAAGAAGAAGCCAATCTGAAAGGGCTACACAGTGTATGATTCCAACTATATGACAGTCTGGAAAAGGCAAAACTATAGAATGAATCATCAGGAGCTAGGGGGAGAGAAAGATGAATAGGTGAGCAGAGAGGATTTTTAGGAGAGTGAAACTACTCTGCATGATACTATAATTGTGGCTATGTGTCACTACACATTTCTCCAAACCATAGAATGTGCAACCCCAAGAGTGAACCTGAATGTAAACAATGGACTTTGAATGATAACGATGTGTCCAGGTAGGTTCATCAAGTGTAACATATGTACCACTCGGATGGGGGATGCTGATACTGGGGGAGGCTGTGCATGAATTGGGGGCAGGGAGTATATGGGAAATCTTTAATTTTGCCGTGTACCTAAAATTTCCCTTAAAAAATAGTCTTAAAAAAGTTAATGATATGTATATGCAAAAAAGTCCAGAAGATGATGCACCAGACTTTTAATAGCAAACATGCTGCCAGAATGTTACCCTTTGATACTGAAGTTAAAAAGGATAAACACTTTTCATCTGCACGTATTAAAAGCCGAAAAGAAAAGAAAAAAAAGTAACATTGCTTATTGTCTGGATAAATAGCCCAGTATAAATGATGGTTTGTAAATATGCTGCTAAGTCTAGAAAGCACCTGCTCAAACTCCTTCAAAGAGAATAAAATAAAATTAATCTAAGAAAAGCTGTGATCTTCTGTAAGTTTTTACAGCCTGGATCACACTGTAGCAAAATGACCTGATTATTGGTCCATCCTAACCCTGGATAGGTAAGTTCCTTTAGGCAGAGACCATTTTTTATCTTTGTACCTAAGCCTAGAACCTTCCTGACGCATAGTAGGTATTTAGTAGATGACTAATGAATGAGTCAGTGATAGAGTCTAATAAACTGTACACTTCTCCAGGAAATGCTAATACAGAGAATTGTGGTCTCGAACTTTCTGTGCCAGTAAGTCTATGCCCATGTGTCTTTCATGCTCTCATGGGGGAAGTGGGTATTCAAATTCTAATGACCTGCATCCATTATTGAGACAAAAAGACACCCAAATAGAGAAGGAAACTTATCAAAAATACTATAGTTGATTAAAAAACATCATTAGGAACACGAAACTCTGTTTGCAATCTGTGTGGACTATGTCACCTTTTTTTTTTTTAAGATTTTATTTATTTATTTGACAGAGAGACACAGTGACAGAGGGAACACAAGCAGAGGGAGTGGGAGAGGGAGAAGCAGGCCTCCCGCTGAGCAGGGAGCCCAATGCAGGGCTTGATCCCAGGACTCTGGGATCATGACCTGAGCTGAAGGCAGACGCTTAACGACTGAGCCACCCAGGCACCCCTATGTCACCTTTTTATCAGTAATTTTATATTTTGACTAAACAGACCTACCAAAGAGTATGTTCTGGGCAAAACACGCCTGATTGGTACAATACGCTGCAAAACAGAACTTTGATAATTGGCTTCCCTATTCTGGTTTGACTGCTCAAAGCCCAGGGATTTATCCTTGGTGAACTGACAGAATCCACCTGCAAAGTCTGCAAGATGGAAATCTGGATTCAACTGGCAGCCCAGTCAACAGGCCTCCCTCTTAACAACAACAACCTGGAGCTCCCAAGTTTCACAAACCACAGACTCCACATCAACTTACTTCTCACAGGCACTTTGCCACCTTTCGTGCTGGCCATTTCTTCATCAAACTTTGGATTGTTGAGTAAATTGTGTACTCCGAGAACAGCTAGAAACAAAGATAATCAGTAAATATATGTTTGGGAAGGCATGTTAAGATGTCTGAAATGTTAATTTTCCCCTTGAAGATCAATTCTTCATATCATCAAGTAAGTCTCCAGAACCCCCTTGCCTTGCATAGCGTATGGGACACATGTAGTATTAAATAAGCTTACATATATATTTTTTTTTTTTTAGAGGGACTGGTTCTTTATTTCAAAAAGACACTTGTCAATTTTCAGTATCAAAACAGTTTGCACTATTGGTTTCTTTCTCCCAATCGGCCCCCTAAGCTTACATATTTTTAAAAAATCCCTTTCCAATCCTTTTCCATCGCCACCAGCGATCTTCACAGGTCTTTCTGTGGCTATACAGGTAGAATCATTTAGGATCTGCAGGACAATGGTCAAGTTATGTTATGCCCCCAAATTACTGAAAACTTGCTTAGATCTCCTAGTTAAATAGACTCAACGCTTCTGTTTTCTCATCTGTAAAATGTGAGCATGGGACTGAGTCTAAGGATACTCTAAGATCTAACATTATACAGATTATAGCAAATGGCAGAAAGATCATGGGCCTCTTTCAATGAAAGCCGCCCCAATCTCTCAGTACCAACAGCAGTTGTCCTCTCCAGTTTAGAGCATCCTAGAATGGGAAATAAAAGAGATGTCAGCAATAAAAGGTGGGATAAGCATACTGAAGATTTCGCAACTCCTGTATTATGGGGAGCTTACACCAGGAGGCAGCAAAGGATGCAAGAAACGGCACTGGGTCAGCATGAGCTCTAGGCAGGCTGAAAGGCAAGTGCCCCCTTTGCTAATGAAATTATACAGATGAGACTGACCACCTGGAGAAGGATCCCAGAGCAGGTAATCTGTCAGCAGGAGGCAGTGGAGTATCTCAGAGCTCATCAGTCATAGTGTAATCTACACATCAGGAGCAGGGAGGCAGCCAGCAGCCCAATAAAGGGCAAATGCTTACAGCTGACAAGGCTAGGGTTAAGAGTGGTACTCAGGAGCAGTCAGCCAGAGTTGGAATCCTGGTTCTGTCCCATACTACCTCTAGGACTTGGGAAGTTACTAAATGCCTCTGAGGATGTTTCATCAGCGGTAAGGTAGGGATAATAATTATACTTTAAGTGTTACAAAGCTTAAATGACTTCTCATGCATCAGACGCTGTTCTAAGCACTTTACAGATTCTTGTTAAATAAATAAGAATTTGTCACTATGCTTCTGGCACTGTCTAGGGAGAAGACGCCCTATTTGATAAACACAGGCCACGGATCATCCAAACATATCTTGCTTTGGCCCCATACTCACTAAGCAACTTCTAATTATAATTTGGCTCCCATTGCCAAGTTTTAATTTTTGTTTTATCTGTTTCCTGTGAATCTGGCTAGCGGATTAGCCACAAACAGACGGCTCATACGTGCACTGACAAAATCGAATTTTTAGACCATTAGAATTTTTAGACCACCCTATCTAGACCTCACTGGCTGTCAGCCCATCCGCTCATGGGGCTGCTCCTGATCTTCCAGAAAGAACCACCCCAGAGAAGATGCTGTCACCCACCCCCAGGTGGGCTTCCTCCTGAGTTCTGAGGGAGCATCTGATGAGGGAGTGAGGTTAAGCAGAGATGAACAAGACAGTTTTCTATCTGGATTATTCCCCTGGTTTTATTGTATGAATTTCAGCATCTAGATTATTCCAGATGATTGGTGTTTTCCTCTTTCTCCTTTCTTAAGCATTTCCTGGGAATTCAAGCCCAGCCCTGCATTCTCCCTTTGGGCAATTCTAGTAGAAACCATGAGACAACCCTTGAGAGGAGCAGTAACCATAACAGGATCCCTCCACAGCAACTGCAGGGCTAAGAAGAAAGGTCACTGCAAAGCACCTTAACTGTGTGATGCAGGTGCCTCAATTCCTGCAGTCATTTCTGAGAGAGGTTCAAATATGCGAACTTAGTATTGACCACTGATCTCATCACAGGAGGAACGAAGATGTAGCTGAGACGGTAGGCATGCTATTAGAATAAGGCATAGCTGGTTCTCCTGGGAGGGAGGATGGATTATTATTACAAATGTTTTTTAGTGGAATAAAGATGTGAGGATTCTTGCTAAGCCTCGTGGACTGTTTTTTATTTTTATTTTATTTTATTTTTTGAGAGAAAGAGAGCACAAGTGGGAGGGGTAGAGGGAAATGGAAAGAGAATCTTAAGCAGACTCCACACTAAGGACAGTCCCAACTCAGGGCTCGATCCCACGACCCTGAGATCAGGGCCTGAGATGAAATCTGGAGTCGGACGCTTGACCAATTGCGCCACCCAGGCACCCAAATATGATCTGTTTTTTAAAGCACCTTTATCCTGTAGTGACCTAATAACCCTAATAATCTAAATTTACATCCCACTTGGAAAAAAACACATCCCATTAATGCACAAATATGCGGGGCGCCTGGGTGGCTCAGTCGTTAAGCGTCCGCCTTTGGCTCAGGTCATGATCCCAGGGTCCTGGGATGGAGCCCCGCATCGGGCTCCCTGCTCGGCGGGAAGCCTGCCTCTCCCTCTCCCACTCCCCCTGCTCGTGTTCCTGCTCTTGCTCTCTCTGTCAAATAAATAAACCTTAAAAAAAAAAAAAAAGAGTGCACAAATATGCTGGTAGACGCATGGCATCTTTCTTGAAGGATATAGTAGAAATGGGAGAGGACTTAATTAGGGTGAGAAACTTACTTTCATGACATATTCTTTTGTTGGTGTTGCTATGTTCCAATAAAAGTTTATTTACAAACACAGGAGGCAAGTCGCAGTTGGCTGACCCCTGACCTGCCACCATCTTGACTACGCATTCTTTTATACTACGTGTGTTCTGTCTGTCTGCATGCGTAACCAATTCAAATCATAACACCAATTATTATTTTGTTGCTACTGTTTAGAGAACTAGAAAAAGATGAGCAGATTGGGCGGAATATGGCTTTAATTACTGTGTGGGTGTAATGGTTAATAACTCCTGCTCTGTGGTTAGGCTAACAGACTTCTTTGTGGCAATCAAAATGGAATAGCGACTGTGGGGAAGAGCAAGAACTTCACGGATACTTTATGATGATAAAATGTGATAAAATGCCAGATGTGAAAGCTCCTCAGAGTAAGGGCTATTATTTCATTGTTTAGGTTCTCAACACTCCTTTAGATTCCTTCTCTTTGGCTTCTCAAACTCTTGAATTTTGTAGGAAGGGTATTATTGGGGCATTTTATAGCCGAGATAGGAATTTACATTTTACAGCTGAGATACAGCAAAGTAAGATTTGCTCAGAGAGGTGAAGTCACTTGCATCAAGTCTAATGGCTACAAAATAGCTGAAGTCACCCTGGTATTGCAATGCTGATCAGTAGTTACTGAAGTTCAGAGGCTGCTGCTGGGCATGCCAGTGTGTGCCTGGGGGGCCAGAGCCACACAGGAAAGTTTCCCAGAGCTGAGGACTAACCTGCAAGATCATAGAGCTCAGTGTCGGAGGCGCTGGCCAAAGCTTCTTCCAGTTCTGGGTCAAGGGTCACTTTTTCTTCTTTACGAGTTTCTATGGGCTTTTCTTTGGGGATGAAGACTCTCCCTTTAAATCAGAAGGAAAACAAAAACTTTTGTGTGCTGCTCACCAGAGCAGGGTAAGAGGACTGACCAGACAATGCAGCTCTGACCACTGAGAGCCAAGTCATTAAGCCATTGCATACCCAACTGGGATTCTTTCCTTGCTGGAATGATGGCGGTATCATTAATCCACTAATAGAGGGAGGGAGCGTCAGAGGAGGAATCCTGTGTTCTGCAACACAGAGATCTGAGGAGACTATGGTCCTTAAACATAGAAGGAAATGGTGGTTTCTACCTCTCTACCATCAATCGCCAGTATTGCCCTTAGACCTGAGCAAGAGAGGCCCTGCCATGGGCCCCACGTTTTACAGGGCTCACTCTGGTCCTCCTCTCCTGCAATCTCCCTCCTCCCCACATCAAGGGAGAAGACATGGGGCCAAAGGGACATTCCCACCCAGAATCCAGGCCACCTGCTAGGCCCCACTCCAGGCATCTGGGACCCTCGAATTCCCTGCTCAAAGACCCCTGAACTTGCTTCCAGGGCCTGCGTGCATCCCTTCCCCATGTCCATCCTCCTGGAGGCATGTCACATTGCTGGAGTGAGCACCCCAGGCCAAGGGGAGGTTATTTGTGTCAAATATGTGTGAGGCCCCAGCAGTTTAGGACAGCCCCATATGCTTGCATGGAAGCCCAAGAATCCTGGGCTTCTAGGTGTATTTGTAACAGGATAGAACATATTTAACAGCTATTAGCTTTTAAATATTTATAAAAAATGGCACATAGGCTTCTGTGTGTGTTCTTCCCTTGGATCCTGCAAATACTGGAGGCAGAGTCACCCACACAGTCCCAGGGGTTCCTGAGGGACAAACCAGAGCTCTCCCAGAGCTTTCCCCCCTAGATTGAGATTGTAGACCACTAGGATGTTCTATCTGGGGTCACTTGGAGTAGAGTAGTGGCCTGGGGACACAGCTACCTCTCTAGACATACCAAAGGACATCAGATGTAAAAGGAGAAATCAGGATTCTGTGTTTAGAAATTGTGGAGGTCTGTGAGCAACAAGGTATTTTATGCTTCCCACATGCGTATACTCTGCGATCATCTCCCACTTCATCCTCGCAGTCAGATTCCATTTGTTTTGCCCCCGACTCACTTCTCAATATGCTGATATCTATGCCCTACCCTCCTCAGCCCCAACCTCTGGACTGAAGATTACATCGCTGGGAGGATGGCATATTACCTGCTCCTAACTTTCAGCCAGCTCAATGCACCCACATCCTACTCATGCAATGACTTATAAGGGGAAACCCAGGACATTCCAGAGCTCCCACGGCAATACTCCAGACCGACTTACACTCTTTTTCAATTCCTTCCAGCTTTTGACTCTTGATTTCTTTTCTGGAGCTGCTCTTACTTCTTGGCATGATCTTTGAAATTGGTCTCCTCCAATTTGATCTTTAGAGTTCCCTAAAGACTCACCCTTCCACTGCCTTCTCTTTGTCATCTTGAGTAGAACAGAGAGCTGGGTCCCACTTCAGCCAATGGAGACCAACACTGTTTCCAGGTCTCTCTGGCTAGCTAGCCCTTCTCCACTCCCTTTGGAAAGGTAAGGGTCAAACCCAAAGTCAGCAACTCTCCTTTATAAATCCTCTCCAAGAGTTGTCCCTGGTTGCAGGGGCTGTGGACTTCCTGATAGTTTACCAGCTCTTCAAATGGTTGGACATGAAATCGGGGACCAGGCAGTGCTGGGCACCCTAGGGAGACACCACTGCTTATAGTCAATCTGAGGTACCCTGGCCACAAGGTCTCCATCACTCACCATCACCCTGCTTCCTGCCTCTGCATCACATAAACTGCCACCTTTCCCAGAAAGAAGCAAAATACACTGGAGCATAATGAAAAATACAAGGAGAATGGCCAAAAGATAGAAAATGAAAAAAGAAAATAACCAATCAATAACATCTTAGACACTAGGGTTCATCCCAGACTTATTTTTCATAGTATCTGCAGCCTGAAGCCTTTTCTTTGTGGCTCAGATGATCTTGGTTCCAGAGTCAAAGAGGCTTCCCCTTTCCTCCTTCCTCCTAGTGCTTAGGATTACCCTCAATACCATGTGCGCAGGTGGCCCATAGCTGTCAAACTTTAGGACAACTCCTGCTGCACATCCATTCCTGGTGGTCTTAGGGTGGGTAACCAAACAACAAGTTCTAAGTGGATAAAACTACTGCAGAGAGTGAAACGTGGCCCAGGAACCTGAGGGCCCAGGGCCCAGGGCATTCAGAGCTGAAGTTGTACAGCCCCTCGACTGAGGCCTTTATGGCAGCCTCCAAGGCTTCCAGATCATCCGCTGGTGCATCCAGATCATCCGCTGGTGCTTCCAGGGGCCCTGCAGACTCTACTCTGTTCCCTCTGCTCTGTTTGGAAAACTTGCTCTCTGCTCATTTTGCCCAACTGTGTTGCTTTCTAACCTTCTCCTAAGCTACACTGGGCAACTGTGTGCCCCTTTTGTCTCCTCATTTACGATCCAGGCTGCCCCTGCATTTCTAGCTCCCCTGTGAGTCATCTGCAGATGAATCTGGATCTAGAGATAATTTACCACTGCTACTCCTCAGACCTCTACTTTGAGAAGAGACAACAGCTTTTTTCTTGTTATTCTGGCCCTACCCTAATATTGGATGTTAACTGGGATTTTATTGAAGATTTGACATTGTAATTTTTCTTACACAATGAACTTAGTCTAATAGCAGCCATGCTGCCATAGAAACTGCTCCGTACTTCTATGGCAATCCTTAGTTATTTGCCCAATTTGTCACTGTCCAACTTCACTTTCTTAATAAATTGACACGATCAGTGGTGCACAATCCATGAAATGAGCACGATTCAGAGGAGAGCCAGATGTCGCGTAACAGAAGGCAGCAGTGCTCTGACTGACGCCACCTGAGGAGGGGTGCTCCTGCTGCCCCAGGACCCTGTACAGAAGCTCCCAGACAGCATTCATCTGAACATGTATTTATCAAGTGCTCCCCTGTGCCAGCATGCACAGGTGGGAAACGCACAAAACCCAAAGTAAATAAACAAAATGATGAACACAGTACTATGAAGGCAATACATGTCATGGCAGAGAGAAGGGGTCTATTTTAGACAGAAGGGCCAGGGAAAGCCCGAGGCCCTGACGTTTCAGCTGGGACTTTTAGAATGTGAAAAATGGGGATGTGGGTCGGAGGGGAGAGATCATGAGAAGACCCTGGAATGGGAGAAGAACTCAGCAGGTTTGGGGAACTGAATGCAGACGGTGGGGCCGAGGCTCGGCAAGGGAAGGGGAGAGGTGATCAGAGAGGTGGGCAAGGTGAGCTCTCCCGGGGCACCGAGGACCACAGCGAGGATTTGAGACTTTCAGCAGGGAAGTGACATGATCTGATTTGCATTTTAAAAAGACTGTAGTTGCCATGAACTTATGGATGATTCCATTAGTGTCTGTGGGCCCAAGTCCCTGTCTGTAGCTGAGGAAACCAGCACAGGCTGTTGGTACCCACTTTTCCTCCAAAGGGGAGCCCAGGGTTGGAAGCTAAGGAGGAGGGTTTTCCTGGTCTCAGTTCTGAGCTCAGTCCTGGCATGGAGGAACATCCCTTTGCTCCTCAGGGCCTCACCAGGACTATCACAGTGCTTCTCTCACTAGACCACAAGCTCCTTGAGGGCAAGGTAGGGTCCCACTCACTGTGGTGCCAACACCTGGCACATAGCTGTGCACAAAGGGGGTGCTTGGTAAATGCTGGATGAGGGAATGGTTGACTGCACTGTTCTCTTATGGTAGCATCTTAGGTCAGGGGTCTGGTGCCACAGCTATCCTAGACATGGAACAGAAAGGCCTTGAGGGGATGTGTGCGGTTGGTAAAGCCCTGGGCTAAGAGAAATGCACCAACGCCTATAGGACCTTCTTTCGGGCACAACACTACCTCACGCTGCCAAAGCTTTTTCTTTGGGGCTTAAGATATTTTTCACAGAACTAATTTGAGTACCTTTACACTCTAAGTATTAATTTAATTAGCTTACATATTCTACCATAATTTTTCTTGTAACTAGTAAACTTTTTTTTTTTTGAGCAGTTTTAGGTTCGCAGAGGACAGTACAGAGAGTTCCCATATACTCCTTGTCCCACGCTTACGAGCTCTCCCCCAGTGACACTGTGCAGCTGAGTGGGACGTTTGTTACAACTGATGAGCCTACATTGCCATCATTATTATCCAAAGTCCACAGTTTATATTAGGGTCCACGCTTGGTGGTGTGCATTCTACAGGTTTGGACAAAAGTATACTGGCATGTCTCTACTAGCCATGATTCTTTTTAATTATGAATCCAGTTCTTGGGCTTCTTTCCCACTTCCAGGTCAGTTCCCTTGCTGGACGCCCCATGACAAGATATGAGGAGTACCTTTGTACCAGGATGTGGAGCCAGGGGCCCTTACCTTTCTTTTCTCCAGTGAAGGGCACAAAGTCTTCCCTGTCCTTCTGTTCCAAAGCTTCCTTCTCCAGGTACATGAGGAGGTGTTCGCGATCGAACGGGCCAGTGGCTGCTTTCTGGGTCTGGTCTTTCTGTCGGAATCCAGCTGGTAGCAGTGCACTCTGATGAGACAGAGGTGTGAGCAGGAAGGAAGGTGTTTGACCTCCCGATACTCTGTCAATTGGCGCCCAGCCCCAGCCCAGCTGTCTGTGGGGGAGGCAGGGAGAAGGCTACCTGTGCAGAGATGCAAGTGTGCACTGAGGGCTGGGGACTCTGGCGCGTCTCTGAGGCCCTACCCTGGCCCAACCTGTGCTGAGATGTTTCTGCCAATGCGCACAGGCAGAACACAGCCGGCTAGAGCCGCCTCTGAGTCTTCTGCAGCTGCATTCTAGAATGTGGTGGCAAAAGGCCAGGCACCATTCACGGCCTCCTTCCTTGTAGATCACACTTGGGTTTGGCCAGGTCTGTACCCGAGGTCCTTCCGAGCAGGCATACAGAGACTAACAAGGAGCCAACATGATTATACTCTCTTATTTCTAGCCTCTTTCCTGGGAAAACATCCCAACACGTAAGTAAATATTAGGGGAGATGCTGATACCTGCTTGACTAAGCTGAGTGATTCCTTCCTTAAGGTTCAAAAATAAAAACATTTTTTTTAAGGCTGTGTTTTGGGTTATTGATTTATTTATAACTTAGTTATTTGTCAGTCTTGTATAATACCCAGTGTTCATTACAACACATACCCTTCCCAATGTCAAAGATAAAAATATTTTTAAAAATAAATAAAATATCCAAAGTGTCTGGCCTATCAGAATATCATATAAATAATTTTTAGTGACATTTTTCTTTATAGGAAAATCACTATTTTGGATGCCTCTGATTCTAATTTAAAAAAAAAACACCATCAGCACTAAAGAAAGTGCTTGCTAAACAAACACTGTAACAATCTAGTTTGCTTTTCAAGAGCTCATAAAAATAGAATCTCCACTTAAATTGACATGATATTATTGTTATAATTCAAATCCATCCATTGTTGTGAGATCACCAAAGACTTCAAGTTATTCATGCATTTTTAAAAAATGAGGTATAAAAAAGATCTGTTTGCGGGGTTAAAGGCCTGGTGTAAATATCACCTCTGACGTTTACTAGTATGGGATCTTCTGTAAATTACTTTTCTTCGTCTGTCCCCCTCAATTATGAAATGAGAGTAATATAATTTACCCCAAGGGCTTCCATGCCCAGTAGAGTGTATGACCTCACAGAAGAAATTTGGTTAAGATTTGTTCCCTTTCCCTCTTTCCTTTCTTCTTCCTTAAGTCCAACTAGTCCTTTCCTAAGCAATGGAAAATATTTTTTTACCATTTACATTAAATTGGTTTTTGAGAAATACATTTGTCCTATCATATTGTAGACGTGGCTACTGAGGTTCTTTATGACTCTGTCAGAGTAAGTGACCCGGAACCAATCAGGGGAAGAACACAGAATTTGTATTTGGAGCTAAGGGATTTCTACACTACTGTTTAAGGACCAAGCCACACCATTTATCCCCTACTACCACTGACCACCATGTTTCAGTCCCAGGTCACCAACCTTGGGATCTAGGTCATCAAGAACATTTTCCAGCTGTTTCAGTTCCTCTTCTGAGAGTTTGCCAAGAAGCTCATCTTCATCAATGTTCTTGTATTTCTCCAGCTCTTTTTGAAAGGGGAGCGCCATGGCTTCTTACATGCCCTTCTCATGGGTCACGAACATTTAAACAGGCCAGCTTCCTGAGACTTCAGAATACTATCAATAAGAAAGAAACACTGTTATCTTATTCTGCAAACAGGACTTATTCACAGGAGACAAGGGCTGTGCCATCTGCCCATGGAGTCTTTATTGGATGAATAATTCCACAAATCAGTAATATCACTTCCCTTTGCAGAGCAACCTCACAGCTTCTTTTACTAATTTAGATCTTTACAAACAACCCAGAAAGGAAGCCTGGACAGATACTAATATCCCACTTGACAGATAAAGACTCTGAGGCGAAGGTGGCTAAGTTGCTTGCTCGAGGCTCCAGAGCTGGGACGTGCCAGGCCTCCTGATTCCCAGCGTGGTGGGTGCCTTTCCACCACACTCTGCCTCCTCCAGCTTTCCATAGGAAACAGTGGAAAACAATGAATGAACTGTAAGGCAGTCGTAAGAAGCATACTTGTGTCTTTTCAGGGAGAGAGTGATGTGAAGAATACAAAATGGGGTTCATTCAGGAAAGAGAGTTTGGAACGTCTGTGTGAGAAAGCATTGTGCAGTGACTCCCTGCAATTAATCTCAGTAAGATTCTAAAATCCTGACTACATATTCTCTCCACGCTTCTACTCTCTCTTTTTTTCTTCCCTAATCTCCTGTTCTTTCTATTCCCATTTCTTTTTTGTGTCCTTAGTCACGCTCCCTAGTTCGTTAAACCTCCACTCCATTCTCCTTTCAACCCCTTCTTTTATAGTACCTCACTGCTAAACTTCCACCCGGAATGTCATTCTGACTCAACCCCAACTTTCTTGCAGAGGATTTTCCATCTCTCCTCTAGAAAGATAATACTGCATTTAGGAAATAGCAAGGCACTTAGCTGATTGTGTTTCTCTCTAGGCGGTATTAAACTCAATCAGATCTTTCAAGGCAATTAATATTTGCTGTATACCTACTATCTGCCAGGCACACGTCTAGAAAGCAGGAATCTAAAGATAAACAAGATGTGACCCCTTCTTCAGTAAGATCACAGCTCAGTGAGACACACAAATACTTGATAAGCATTAGAACAGAAATATAAGGTAGGTTTAAAAACACATGAGGAAGTAATCATTGGGTAAGGGGGGGCGGGATTGAGGGGAAGTGGTGAAAAACAGGTTGCCTTTGAGCCTTGAAGGAAGAGACCACAGGCGGCTGAGGGTGGGGAAGGGTTATTCCAGAGAAAAAGAACAACATAAACAAAGGCACAAAGATAAGAAGGTGGATGATGGGATTTTAGTGAATTTATTGAATGGTTGGTGTGCTACAGAGAGAGGAAAGAGCTAAAGACCAGAAAGGGACATGTGTGAAGGGCCTTCCCTATAAGCCCTGCCAAGGACCCTGGGCTCTATTCTGTTGGACATGGGGAGCTGCCACAAATGTTTAAAACCAGAGGAAGCATCTGAGAAGCCCATTTTTTACATAAGGTAATTCAAAAGGTAAGAATGAAGAATGGGTTGCCATAGGGAGAGACCAGTTGAAGGTGAGCCACTGAAGGGTTATTGGAATGTTGCTTCTCTCTCTTACTAGTTCACCACATTCAAGCTTGTGGTTTTCTTTTCTTTTTTTTTTTTTAAGATTTTATTTATTTATTTGACAGAGAGAGACACAGCGAGAGAGGGAACACAAGCAGGGGGAGTAGGAGAGGGAGAAGCAGGCTTCCCACTGAGCAGGGAGCCCGATGTGGGGCTCGATCCCAGGACCCTGGGATCATGACCTGAGCCGAAGGCAGGCGCTTAACGACTGAGCCACCCAGGCGCCCCTCAAGTTTGTGGTTTTCTGTTTGGGTGTCTTTTCTATGTACAACGTGACTGTCTTTTCCATTGGCCAGCCATCTTTTAAGCTTCCATTGCTATAGTACAGTAAAATGAATAAATAAACAGAACCCTCTCCCAAAACCCATCCCACTAAAGGCACAGACCAATTAGATCACAGAAATTTTGTTTTGGCCCCAGCTATCACTAATTATGTGACACTGGGCACAGAACTAAATCTGCCAAGCCCTTAACCATCAAATGAACTTTGATGAGGTTGAAGAAGGAAGGTTGAACCATCCTTCTTAATGGACTTGAAGTTACACAGTTTCCCACATTTAACATTCTGAAATTCAGATGTGTTTTACAATCGATGATCCTACGATTACTGTGGGCCCAGCAGCAGTCAAGATGTACTCGACATTGCCTACAAATGCATAATATCAAAAGCACCAGCTTCAAAACTAGAAGAATGGGTGTCAGGGATTTGGGAAAAAAAAATCCCAGGGACTTGTAAAAATAGTGGACCACTCTTTTAAAATCTAACGGGGAGGAAGTGAGACAGGTGGTAACTCAGGCATGTTTAGCAACACTCTCAAAGGAAGATGCAGGTTAAGTTAGTTCCACATAATTACAGAGTGGGCTTTTAAGCACCCAGCATTAATGGCTTATAGTTCTTTTACAGGTTTTTAAAAAAAATTACCACTCTTGATGGAGCAGAGGAGATATTGGATGGAAAAAAAACAGACATTCATGATTGTGAATCAAAGGTATATATACAATGGAATACTATGCATCCATCAAAAAATGAAATCCTGCCATTTGCAATAACACGGATGGAACAAGAGGATTACGTGAATCGAAATAAGTCAATCAGAGAAAGACAAGTAGCATATGATCTCACTGATATGAGGAATTTGAAAAACAAGGCAGAGGATCATAGGGGAAGGGAGGAAAAAATGAAACAAGACAAAACCAGAGAGGGAAACAAACCATAAAAGACTCTTAATCTCAGGAAATAAATTGAGGGTTGCTGGAGTGGAGGGGGGTGGGAGGGATGGGGTGGCTGGGGGATGGACACTGGGGAGGGTATGTGTTATGGTGAGCGCTGTGAATTGTGTAAGACTGATGAATCACAGACCTGTAACCCTGAAACAAATAGTACATTATATGTTAATAAACAAAGTGATTCAAAAAGTTACACTCGAAATGTGAAGAACTTTTAAGAATATTAATCAATTCATTTCAGTTGCATCTTCCCTTTCTATGCCCAGGGTGATCTATAATTTAAAAAATCTATTCATGGGCGCCTGGGTGGCTCAGTTGGTTAAGCGACTGCCTTCGGCTCGGGTCATGGTCCCGGAGTCCTGGAATCGAGTCCCGCATTGGGCTCCCGGCTCAGCGGGGAGCCTGCTTCTCCCTCTGACCTTCTCCCCTCTCATGCTGTTTCTCTCTCTCTCTCTCTCAAATAAATGAATAAAATCTTTAAAAAAAATAAAAAATCTATTCATAGCAGCTTTATTTCAAAAGTCAAAAACTGTAAATAAACTGAACGATCACTGGTGGGTGAATGGAAAAACAAATCATGGCATATCTACATAATGAAATCTATTCAGAAGTAAAAAGGAATGAACTATTGAAACACACAACATGGATGAACATCAAAATAATTATATCGAATAAAAGACGCCAGACCCAAAAGAATGCATAGGGTATGACTCCATTTATCTAAAATGCTAGAGACTGTAATTTATATGACAGAAAGCAAATTTATAGTTGCTTGGGGATGGAAGAGAGAGAGGTAGGGAGGGGCAGAGGAAGGGATCATGACGGGACATAAGGAAAATTCTGAGTTATATATATATGTTTATTCACTACCTTGATTGTGGTGGTTTCACAGGTGCGTGCTTATGTTAAAACTTAGCAAACCGTACACTTTAAATACATGCAATCTGTTGTATGTACATTAAAAGATTTCAAAAAAGTCTATGTGTAAGTCTAAAACTGTTCTTTCAATAAAGTGAAAATTGTACTTTTAAGGAAGCAAGCATCATATTTTAGCTGGTAGCATTTTTTTCCTTAGTGGTACATAAAACGTTGATGTGTTTTAAATTGGTGGTATCTTAGACCTGGTAAGATTCTATTTGTATTTCCAGTCCAGGATTCTACAACTATACTCCTAATTTCACATCTTTCTATAAAACTGACTTGCTCTCCTGATTTTCTAGATCATACCATTAATCTACCAGTCACACATTTTAAAAACTTGGACCACCCTTCAATTTTCCCCCTTCTTTCCATGGCCACTTGGTTAGCATCTCCTATAGATTCTGACTGCACAGAACTTTTTGTTTTTGTTTTAATTTTTTCAAGATTTTATTTATTTATTTGACACAGAGAGAGAGAAGCAGACTCCTCGCTGAGCAGGGAGCCCAATGTGGGACTTGATCCCAGGACCCTGAGATCATGACCTGAGCTGAAGGCAGCCGCTTAACCGACTGAGCCACCAGGCGCCCTGCACAGAACTTTTCACACCACCCCTTCTTCCTGTCTCTCTTGTTTTGCATCTTTGTCCTTTGGGCCCAAACTACTATAATGGCATCTTGAAAGGTTTCTGTTCTTCCCCCTAAGCCACCAGAACACCACAATCGGGTCATCTCTCTTTACACTGCTAAAAAGCCACTTCTCTGGGTAAGGACTTCCAATGGCTCCCTCTTGTCTACAGAATGAAATTCAGACAGTCTAGCATCCAAAACTCCCATAATTTGGTGTCAGGTTGCACTTTCTGCTTTCTGTCTTCATTACTTTCCCAGGGAGTTACTCTACTCCAGCCAAAAAGGCTTATTGGCTCTCCGTGATAGGCAGAATAATGATCCCCCCCCAAAGATGTCCAAATGTGAATCCTCTAGGACCTGAAAAATGTGTTACTTTACATGGCAAAAGGGACCAGGTGGGTTAAATCACGGATCTTAAAATAGGGAGATTATCCTGGATTATCTGGGTGGGTCCAACAGAATCACATGGGCTCTTAAAAGATGGAAGAGGAAGGCAGGAGAGCCAGAGGAGATGTGATGACAGAGCAGAGGGCTGGAGTGATGTGATTGCTGGCTCTGAAGATGGATGAAGGGGCTAAGCGCCAAGAAATGTGGCCGGCCTCTAGAAGCTGGGAAAGAAAGGGAAACGGATTCTCTTCTAGAGCTTTCAGAAAGGAGTGCAGACCTGCTGACACCATGACGTTAGCCCAGTGAAACCAGTCTTGGATTTCTA